CCTCTTTTTAACATGCATACATAAATGCCTACCTACCTTGCAGGAGAGGAACTGATGATGCTGAAGATGCAGGGAATCAGGGAATGACCCTTCCAAAGCATCCACCCAGGCGGTTTCCTTTCAGGGCACCGGCTGAGGTTTCGATGGCTTCGGCCCGGAGCTCGGATCGACCCGGCTGCGCCTTCGCGCTGCTACTTCTCCATGTGGGGGTGGGTTTTATGACTCCTCTTGGGGCCCTCAGTTTTGACCATAGGTAACCTTTCCCATATGTCATGGGAAGTCTCTTTTTTCTCAGTGGTTCCCAGCCATCCGGTTCCTTAGCTTTGATAGAGCTGAGCTTCCGATTTGTTTCACTTGGTGTTTTTTTAGCCATTCGGTTCCTTAGCTTTTTAGCTGTTTAGCTTTTGAGCTTTTTGGCTGGCTTTTTGGTTGGATTTCCATTTTTAACCTGCTAAAAGTTGGTCACTTTTAGAGGGGGATCTGAGGGCAGCCCAATTTTCAGTGGCCTCACAGGACTACTCTCCAACAACTTCGACTTGCTGAAATGAATATGTGTTTTATGGTTGATTTTCCCTTGTTGGTTTTAACGGGAATCCATCACTACTGGACATATTGTCTCATTTTTCCAGGGGGCGAAAAAGCAAATGGAAGAACCATCTCGAGTTCTGTCCAGAAAGCAGTCGTTGGGTGGTGGTGGCGGGTGGTTTCCGCTGAAACGAGTTGCCTCTGCAGAAGTGTTTACTTGTTGATGCGGGGGGGGGGAGCGGGGGTTAAACCTTTGCGTCCAAGTCCAAGAGGAGCCACCAATTTGGGCGTGCCCTTGCCTGGAGTCCAATTGACCCTTGGCAAATGAGATTATAGAAACAAAGCAGAAGAGTCATGACCCAAGCTGAACAGGGCCTTTTCCAGACGCCTCCCCTTGGGGTCAAACCATGTAGGATTCTGGGAATCAGGAGTGGGTTCTCACGTTTATGATACCAGAGAACCACTCCAGGGGCAACTTCCCCATTCTTTCCGGGGATCCCGGATCCTTCTTTCCAGGCAGGCATCAACCTCTGTTGCGAAGCGACTTCTCTCCGAAAGAAAAAATATGGGCATCAACAGGATCCTTTTTGCGATGACATGCTTGTTCAGGTAACCCCTTGGATTGGTGGTTTGGGGATTTGAAGCTCTGGTTGTAGAGGGTAAGTAGGGGTTTACTCCTCCTTACCCCCCAAACCAACGGGCTCCAAACCACCAAGAGGGAAGCCGATTTCTGGCAGCCCTCCTTCACGAACTTCTTTCCGGGCGCTTTTCCCGATTTTCTGGACCTGGCAAGAAAAACACCGGTTCAGATTTACCAAGATCTAGGGGATCCGGATCACTTGGGGGAATAATTATTGGGAAGACACCCCTAAAAACCTGGCAGGTCCTTTGTCAGGTCCTCACATTTACATTGTTTCTCGTTTGCCCGCCAAGCGAAAGTGTATGGCGGGTGAGGGTACCCCCCCTCTCCATACAGAATTGTGCTTCCAGATGGCCACCTTCCAAGGAAATCCACTCTTATAAGTGATAGCCATGAGAATCCCATCCCAGCGATTCCGTTTCCCTATGTGTCCCTTTTTTTTTTGTAGGTAAGCCAGGGCTTGCCACCCTTTCAAGTAGAACGTGGCGTGGCTTGTCACGCCTGGGATCCACTGGCCATCGAGGCTTTCCGAGCACCGGCTCCTTCGTGGCGCCCGGGAAGCCCAGCGAAGCGCGATGAGCGAAGAGGTGAGCGCCGTTTTGGCTCGAGAAAGAAAAAACCAACGGGTAGAGATGGGTCCGATGTTTGGGACCCGAGATGGTGGACATCATTTGGGCACTTATCAGGGGCTCCAACCATTCGAATTCATAGCCATATGAAGGTGACAACCATAAATGGGCCGATCGGTGTTGATATATGACTCAAATGAGCGAGAAGAGTTAGGGATGGCTTGTCAATCCTGGGGCTTCGCCATTACCTGCTGCGCTGGTTGGTTGCAGTGGTTGCTCCCACCCACTCCACCCACCCCACCCACCCTCCCACACGATTCATCCCTCGCCCACCCACCCTTCCCACCAGGCCCACCCGCCCATTCCCCCCCCCCATTCCCCCCCCCATTCCCACCCAAATGCCCACCCACCCATTCCCACTCACCCACCCACCCATCCGCCTACCCACCCTAGCGCGCGTGTGCGCGTGATTGCGTGCTGGTGGCGTGTTGGGGACACTGTACATGGTTTGTCGGTTTTGGGCCAATCCACAAGACTTCAGGGTGGTCTCATTGAACAAAAGTGCACTCCATCCACAACATGTTTCTACGGACATTTGGCGACTCGGAGACGCCAGGCAAACCCTCTTAGTTCGGCATCACTTCACGGATGAACTCCAAGATATGGAATTGAATTCCCAAAGATTCACCCTGGACCTTGGGTTAAAAATCGCAGCTCGGACTCTTGGAACACAGGTACTCCAATTCCAAGCTTTGGAACATGGGGAGACTTGGGGACAAAGAAGCTTGTTTTCGCACGCATGGAAGCGCATGGGTTTTTGTGGAAGAGTACCTTCTTGGTCAAGCGGCCTGGGGACCTTGATGTTTCTTGTAGTGGGGAGAGTGAGCTACGACTGCAACAAGCAGAACGAAGACCATTTTTTTTGGTCGAGCAACGCTTGCAGCCAAGGGCATACACGTGTAAGCAAAGACAGAGGAGGTGGACAAGGGCCAAAATCAAGCCAAAGAGGTTCAAACACTGCCAAAGAAGGCCAGATGAAGCCAATCAAGTCGAAGAGGGTAAATTGAGGCCACATAGGCCAATCAGGTCACCCAGTGCTTCTAGCTACCACTATAGTACGCCAGGTAGCAGTTGTTGTCACGAATCCTCATTCGCCAAATTGGGCTTCTCAATAGTGAAGAAAAAGGCTCATCTCAGCACCGGATACTTCCACTTCTAGGTGAGCAATCCAGAAAGAGTTGTTTTTTGGCCAGGAAACCCAAACTTCAAAGTTTTCTTCGCAGCTGGGGGGCCTTGCATTTTTTCAAGATGTGCTTGTGTCTTTTTCGTTTTTGCTGAAGCTTGCCTCATGATTTGCTGGTTTTTTTTGTTAAAGAAGAGTGTCGACGGCTGATCAGGAGCTACGGGTGGTCAGGCTGGGTCGTGTCCATGTCGAGGCCGCCTGGACCTGTGGGTTTGGCGAAGCTGAGCGCTGCGCTCAGAGACTGGAAGGACGAATGGACTGAAGGACGGAAGCGGAGCCCTTGAAAAGTACCGCAAGAAGTTGGTGTCCTCAAAAAAGACGAAGGCTCACCCGAAAATTACATGACCAAGCCACGTGACATTGGTCTTGCTCTCCTTTGCTCGCACCTTCTGCCCCTAAAGTATGAACCATGGGCGCTTCGCTTTTCGCTCGCGCGCCAACCCGTTGGCATGGGCCGACGGATCTCAGGAAACAAGGAGTTCAAGTTCTACGTGAAGCCACCAAAGCGCCGACCTCGGCTGCTTCGGTGTCTTTGAGGGTACCCCTGTTGAACCACCTGTTTGCTTGGTGGGTCCCAGCATCTGCGCAGCTTTTTTGGGCTTTTAGCTGGCTTGGTGGTAGTTTCCACGAAACCACTAAAAGTTAAGCTGTTAGATCTGGAAACAGCCCTGTGTCGAAACTTTCCCTTTGAGACAAGGCCACCGCCTAGATGATCATCGCGACGGACGACAAATGGCGGCCTTGGGTTTCTTGTTTTGAGTTACTCTTTCAGGGGATTGTATCCACGGGAGGGCAAAGACAGCTCCATTCATATGTACCATGATCGAAACACTCCTTTACTTGGGGCTTACTTGGGATTGTCCTGAACCCTTTTGTAGGGAAGCTAGACAACCAACATGAAGGTTCCTATGAACAAGAAACATGACCATGGCCCACATGAGGCGTTTAGACCATGTCACACATAAGCCTTGGTCACTATTTGTTAGACACACCTGTCAATGGCTTATGGGACCCCAGTGCCCAAATGTCACAGGATTGTATTGGGCACAGGAACGCCCAAGCGAAGCAACTGGGTGACTGCGGGCTGAACAGGGCACTTTTGGTTTTAAGGAGAGATGGCTACGGCTTTGAAGATATCATGGTCAGATTGTCACCCCTTGATTTTTGTTGCCTAAACTGCTGAACAAAGAGCAGGAACCGCAGGGAGGTAGGACCGTACCATGACATAGGTAGACGTCGTGAGTGTTTCGTTGCACCTCCTTGGCATGTATTCAAACCATGGGAGCGAATGGGGCGAATCCGACCGGAGGGCTCACTGGTGAGCACTCCAGCAAGCTCCGGCTTGCAAGGGCTGAGTGGGTAATACAAGGTCCCAACCAGTTAGAATAGGGTGGGGTGCTTAAAACCACGAGGTCATGATTCTTTCAGGGTTTCCTCGATTTCCCTCTTTGGAACCTCCAAAAGTGGCAGTTTCAAGGGAAACCACCGGTAAATTGCAACTTTTGAAGGTGAAGTCCAGTGACCCCTGTCATGATCCGAGTGCTGGCAGCCACGCGTGTAGTATGTGCGGGTGTGTGTCGCGTCCGGAGTGTTCTTCGTGGGGTATACCCCGAAATTACCAGTTTGTAAGGGCCAATGAGACTCCATGATGTCTATGAAGAAAATTAAATGGTCGTGGCCGGTGTTTTGAAGTGATTCATTATTGGCCCGGATCGCGAGTGCACATGTGGCAAGTACCCTTTTCGTTGCCGGGTCGTTGGTGGCGCGTCTTCTTTTGATGGCACCCGTTGGCCGTTTGGTTTGAAAAGGAAGCCAAAGGACAGTCAAACACGATCTGAATCAGGGGAAAAAGTCGGAGCCGAGGTCAGCAGACGAAGGCGAATCTGCGAATCTGTGGCGAATGGGGGAGGGGGAGGAAACTTTGGATTAGGCTGGGCTGCGCATGTTGTGTTTGAGAATTGGAAGCCCCCTTTTGGATGAGGAGATCAGCTATAAAGCATTGTCAGTGTTTCGAAACACGTGTAGTCTCTTTTCTATGGTGATTAAAGAAACTATGAGAAGCAAAGCAACTTTGTGCGGTATATGTTCCCTTTGCTTGCTTGAAGCATCTGGGAGTGGTTTCCAGGTGGTGTGATATTTCAAAGACGAAGTTTCGGGGACGGAATCCATTTCGCACCGCCTAAGAATCCCTGGAATGATGATTCCCCCTGTAAATGGCAACAAACAATGGTTTGCCATGGTTTCAAAGTTTCAAAGAGGGTGGATATTTCTGAAAGTGGGGGGTCTCCTAAATTTCGGCGCCCTTATAGTTATATACATTCTTATCTCCTCAAAGAACCTAAACGCGGGTCCATAGTTTTGCACTATAAATGCACAGCTTGAGATCAGCGGGAAAAACACATGATAAAGGCATATGGGCAACCAACAAACGGCGGAACATTCAGACCCCACCATTTGCTTGCCTCAGGCCCCAGTCGCACGAAGGGAAGTCCCTTTGTGCTTCAAAAGCAGAACCAAAAAAAATAGAATGAAACAAGGACTCGCTTCCGTGCCTGGACTTTAGTGGCTTTTTGTTTGTTTGGACCATTCTCGCGGATAAGAAGTGTGGTTCCCTTGGGCAGGAAGTGAGATGCACATCTTGCAGCCATGGGAACTCAACCCCAGGTTCGAAGGCCTGCACCATCTCGCGGGCAAAAAGTCAGGCAGATGGATCCTGCCTGGCCCTCGCTGGGTCCCTTCACAACTTGTTTGTTTTTTGTTTTGGTTGTTGTTGTTTTTCTTCTCCCGCCCTAAGGGTTGATGTCCACATTCTTGGGTCCTTCAAGCAGATTGTTCTGGCCCTTGAGGGCTCGCTATGGGTTGTGTATTGAAGCAACACAAGGGGTCTGTATTGGACCTGTCGATTCACAGATGGGATCTATGGTCAAAACAAGTTGCAAGCCCAGTCCATGGCCTTTTCCGGAGTGGGGATTGCCGGTGCTTGCATGCTGTCGGGTGAATTGCATAAATCTCTATAATTTATGGCGAGCTCACCGATTCGGGGATAAACCCAGCTCATGGTCAAGGTCCTTTTCATTGAGATCCCTTACTTCAGGTTTTAGACATATTGTAAAACTTGCAGATACATGTCACATTGCTGTTTGCAGGTGTAATATTTTCATACGGTCGATTCCAATTGGGAGACAAACCAATCCACCGTGCCTCGAACCCCCCTAACCCTTGTCAGGGACCCCCCCCACAAACCCCCTCCAAGGATAGGGGTTGATTATTCAGGGCTCCTAAAAAGATACATTTTGCGCATTTGACACACGGCCTTTTCCACCAAAATAAGGGGAAACCAGCATTTACGAGGCACCGTTCAGGTGTATAATCTAAGGATTCCTGTTATTGTGGTACTTGTTGCGCTTGTTGGAGGGAAATAAGGCCAAGCAAGGCTTCAGCTTTTAACGGCTCGGGGAGTCTTTGGAATTCCCTGAACACCTTCACACGTGCGCTTGGGAAGGTCATCCGGCGCAGCTCGCTCAGCCGTGCGGGGCCCATTCTTTCGGCAGAACCCAAGTCCATTGGTCCATGGTTGCCCTCAAAATGCATGACAATCAATACAGAACATGGAAGCTCCCTCAATTGACTCCAGAACATGGAAGCTCCCCCAATCATGGTTGTTCTTGGGAATCATTTTGCCCATTTTTGATCTTATTGTGGTTTAGTGGTTGAAATCCAACCACTCAACTGCTACAATTCAAATTGTTGCTCCCCTTCCAACGTCAACCAAGAGTCAGGTTTCGAGCTTGTGTCTGAGTGAGTGTTTTTGTATTACACTCTGGGATTACACCCTTGGGAAATGACCCCTGGAATGGTTCAAAATAACACGGTTTTATCCGGGTTTTTGTGCCTAAATGGGGTCAATACCCAGTGGGTGTATTCCCAGGGTGTAATACCAAAACCCTCAGATTGTGGATCTTCAGATCAAACTGTCTTTTAACTACACTTTTGGTAATCGAATTGAAGAAACATGAAAATTCGGCGCGGAGAGCGACCCCTGGGATTTTATCTTTGTGCTTTTGCTGGGATTCTGGGATTTGAGAGAGATGTAATACTTTGAGCCTTGTAGATCCATATTCGCGAGAACTTTGGTAAGGCACAGTGGTTTCAAGCGGAATGTTTGAGCACTATGCGCAGGGGTCCGGCTTCTTGATGTCGATCAATTGGACTATCTTGGAACCAAATCCTGCAGAACCTGTGGTGCGTCCAAACCCTTGCCAGCTGCAGGCTGCATAGTGTCAATGATCCACAGATGAGCCGTATTTCGAATGCCTCTGGCGGAGCCTTTAACCTGTGTTTGGACACACTTTCTCCCTACCATCGGACACAAGTCGCATTGACCATTTGGTTCCCCGGGGTTCATGGCGGTCCAAGCAGGTTCGGACAGACAAAGGGCCCTGCGATGGAGAACCCTCATCTCTTCTCCCCTTTGACATGCATGCACCTTGTACTTCCAGGTCCTTCGGGAAAGGGCGACCTTGAAGAAAGCCGGGTGTGAACAGCGAGACCAGCTGAGGGTGTCCCCAAAACCATCAGGATGAAGCCTCTGCTCAGAACATCCGGGGCTCAATAAGTTGGGCTGCGCCCGAAAACGCCTCAGCCGTGGGGGTCATTGGGTCCGCGCCCGAAAAGAAATTCCATCGCTTTGCCGCTTCGCCGCCTTGGGCTCCCAGCTTCACGGGCGAAGTGTTCGCCCGAGCTGGCCGTCGCACGTTCGAATCCTCTCCGTATCTCCCCCGAGGCTGGGGTTCTCTGATTGATAAAGTCAGAACGTATGCAAACATCAAGCGAGCTTCATGTGTGCAGCTACTTGACTTGGTTTGAAGCCAGGCAATGAACCATGGCTGAGCAGTGAACTCAATGAGGAAGCAGAGTGATAAAGATGCTAATTCTTGTTAACCGCAACGAACCCCAACCTCGGACGTGTAGAGTCGCTGCATTGTTTCGGCCTGCAGCCGCTTGGCGGGGAATTGGTTGGACCAGCACGTGCGACATCCACAAAAGATTTCGACAGGATCCTCAATCATACTGATCTGCACTGTTCTTGGCATGTTGTTTTTCTTCTTCTTTTTTTCTGTTCATTTTACTGGGGTCTGCAAAAAATAAAGCTTTTTCGCTACCATACCAAGAGTAGAGATGTCATCAACTTGCAGGTGGGACGTGTTTTCTAAGAATAGGCCCCCTTGCCCGCGATATTCTGGCAGTCATCCTTCACGACCTTTCGGTGCCCATTCCTTTCCACTGCTCAACCAGAGGAGATCCCGCACGTTTATCAGGGAATGTTAGGGCGCTGGAACAAGACCCCTTGACACCTAAAGCAAAATCAGACCTTAACACTTGGGGGTGGTCGCTTCTCCCGGTGGTCGCTTTGTCTCAGGTTGAGTTGGGCAGGTTCTTCAGATGTTTGGTCCATATCGATTCCATGTAAGTTGCCCTTAGTCGAACCAAGTTCACCTGGGGCCAGGGCTACAGAGAAACAGCTGACGATCGACCTGCGGTGCCATCCTTTGTTTGTTTCTCTTGAGCATCAGCTCCACCGATCCGAGAAAGCCCAGAATGCCCTAGGGGGAGCCCTGGGGGAAGGAATCCCATTTCGCACCCTCGAAACGAGATGCTTGAAACCAGAAGGTTTGTTAGGGGAATCGAATCAGAAACCAGAGGGCTTCTGAGGTGCTAAAAATGGGTTTCGCAGACCATCCGCGGTAATTTGGTCCTTGGACCCAAATTCGGGGGCGGGGGGGAGTCGCCTTCGGCGTTTTTTATTTGTTATTTTTCCTTTCGCGTTTCGGGGTGCCCCTTGCTCGGGGCATGATGCTGGCGCTGAGGAGATGAAGCACTCCATGATTCTCGCGGCTCGGAGGGGACGGGGCTGGAATCGCCCGAGGGATTTGGGTGGTTTTCTTGACTGCTATTGGGTTGGATCTTTAGACTTTAACTTTTGGGGAAATGAAGGGGTCTTCCACTAAACCGCCAAAAAGTTAAACTTTTTGCGGGGGGGGCAACAGCAACTAAGGGGGGCCAAAAGGTATCTTGGGGTGTCTGGAGATATCACCTGATTTGACTTTTATGTTTTTATTGGTGGTTGTAGGCTGTCTGGAGATACTGTGGATGGTTGCGAAATCCATTTTGCACCACAAAATGAAACCACGGGGAAACCAGTGTTTGTTGCTATTTACGTTGAGGAATCATCATCAACCAGGGTTTCTTAGGTGGTGCAGGATTTCGTCCATCCACAGTATCACCTGACTTTGTTTTTCCGACTCGGCCCAGTGATTGCACGTCCCGCGCTAGGATTCGCGCGAACGATTCTCGCGCTCGGATTCGCACGTCGGATTCGCTGGGATTCGGTGGGTCTGTCTTTTTGGGAGTCGGACTGATTCCAAAATGGTGCAGCGGTTTCCTTTTGGTTTCCCTTTAAACCACCCCTTTGTTTTGATTTGGGGGGGCTCCCTAAACTTGGTGGTTCTCAGCCATTATCAGAAAGGTTTTCAGGTTTTTAGTTGGTCTAGTGCTAGTTTCCGCTGTCCCGCTCGAAGTTTGTTCAACCTTCAGCAGGAGTCCCAACCAGGTCCCCCAGTGGTGCCCTTTTACTCTTTTTTGTCTGGGAGGATTCCCCTACTAAAATAGACCGAAAAAGTTGGTACCAACTTATTCTAACCTCTCAAATCTGGAGAACCTATACTGTTGGTGTTTCAAGGGAATCTATCACTATTGGATATATTTCTTCCAGGGGACTTAAGCAAATGGAGGTAAAGCAGATGTTTTTGGGCGCATCTCGTCTCCCCGAATTTCCAAGGGTTGCGGCCTCGTCGGCCGCGAAGGGAAGAGCCTCGTCGGCCGAGGTGTCGCTGCTGCCGCTGCTGCCGGCGGTATCTCTGGATGAGGCCACCGTAGAAAGCTCCGCCCGGCCCTCGGCCCTCGCGAAGCAACGAGAACGGGAGGTGGTGGACCCAACGGGACCAGGGGCCCCAAAATGAAAATCGGTCGACCGTCATTTTTGAGCTCACTCCCCAAGTTCATGGACTTTAAAGCTTTTTGGGTTTGAGTTTAGTGACGCCACCAAAAGTTTGGCTACTGTTTTTGGCCAGTCCACTCAGGAAGTGAGGGTCCGAAAAAAGAGGAAATAACCAATTGGAAGCTTCACTTTTCTTCTTTTTAATGGGGGAGAGGGGGGGTTGCCCTATTTTGAGAAACAAACCATGGTGGGCTTCCTTTGCCTGGTATTGTGCCGCCAAGCAACACCAGAGAAAAGAGGAGGTGCCCCAAAGAAAGTCGTTGTATCACGCGTGGCTCAGCCACAAACACCTTCCCTCTGGGTCTTTGAGTGGTTGTTTTTTCCAGACCGTCCCTGCTATTTGGTTTCAGGAGGAAGAGGTTTAACTTCGAAACCCGAGTTTCAAAAAGCTACTTGGGGGTAATCCTGCAGGGTGGCTTTGGCAGCGGCTCCAGGCCACTTCCTTCGATGTTGGGACACCCCGACATCTCAGGTGGTCCTTTGAAGATTTAAGCACAACTTGTGGGATTCCCCCCGTATCCGAGTTCTTCAGCACCGCAAAAGTTTACTTGCCCGGGCATGGTGTGCATTCGGTGCTCAGCAAAGATCGGCCAGTATCACCACACAGCTTTTTTTGCAGCATTGCATCATGGGAACCAACCCAAGCATGTGTGGGGAAGCATGTCAAGGGAAAAACATCTAAAACAGGTTCTTTTGGCAATAGCTTGACTTGAGCAAGGTGACTTGCATAAGTGACTTGGGCGTGGCTCAAAATTAAAGAGCTAGAGTTACGCAGGTGTTGGTCCATGTTTCCACTTACCAGGGCAACCCATTTTGGAATTCCGGTTTTTTGAGCCACAGCCAGTTACGTAAAGTGACTTGCCCACGCTTCTGAGTTTGCAGATTTTTTTCGTGTCGGCGCGTTGTTCGGCCAGCAGCCAGCAGGCACCAGCCATCAGCTTTCGTGACGCGCCGAAACTTTTGCAGGGCTGTCGCTTTTGTACCCCACGCAACCGACCCCTGTAATGAGATTATACACCCCATAGCGCCTCTGCTGTTTGGGGAAGTATCTTTATATATATATATATCGTGCGCATTGTGTGTGTGTGTGTCATTGTTTCACCCCTTGTATTGGTCAGGTTTCCATATATTATCCGCTGTTGGTGGTTTTAACCTCACCTTTTGGGACATTCAGTGAGTTTGCTTTCGGGAGATATGTCTGTGGGCCAAAACCAATGGCACCATGTTGGGGTAGGTGAATTCACCACCCAGTTTAGGCTTTATTTTAGTGGTTGGATTGGGATGTTCACTGGGGGTACGATTGGGATTTTGACCCATGGCCATATAGGGAACCCACAGAAAACGCGTGCTCAGGTCATCGTGGATGCGGTTGGCCAGCTCCTGACGGATGCCCTCACTGGGGAGGAGTGGAAAAAGAAAAAGCGGCGAGAGGAAAACGGCGACCAAAGACGGGGAAGCGGGAGGCTGAAA